GCGGACAGGGCTGTCCGCTGCCCACGCGCTCCGAGGCTTGGCTCTGCTTTGCCCCCCCCTCCCCGTCCCCCTGGTCTGCAGACAAACCGGGCAGCACCCCAGCTGTTCTGCCCCAGGCATCCTGATTCAGCCACTGCTGGTCAGATTCAGCAGCGGCTGGATTTGCATAACTAGATATGGGGGAATTTGCATGATCTCTCTCTAGGTATTTCCCAGCAAATCCACTCCACACTTATTGTCCCAGAAGTCCATTCTTGTCTGGCATATTTTCAATATAGCCCTTTGAACACCCAGGCCACACACCATGTCTACCCTTTGAGAGGCTGCATGCAGTCCCGATCCACAGTATTACATAAACTTTAATACAATAGACCCCATATTTAATCTTAATTCAGTAAACTCTCCCAAGGATATGCAGGAAATTGCCATATCTGTCACAACTTTCTTCCCTCTTTTGTTCACATCTGGAGTTAGGCCTGATATCATGAGTATGGTATGTCATCTGCCTCATCTCCCCTGGTATAAATGAAGAAAATTACTTAGTATTCATCACTCATTCACAAGTCTAAATACACGAAACTGCTCAAAGTGGCTTATCCATTTTGGCCTGGTTGATTTATCTACAGAATTAATGCTCTTTGGAAAGTTGACAGGAAATATTAGCTCCATTGCTCCTGTAAAAATAACTCTGTCTCTTTATAAACTTAATTTTAATTCCTTTCTCCCCTCCCCATTTGTGCCTTAACAGGGATTTTTTCCTCCTCTGCTATAATGGAGCTGTCTCTTCGTGCTTCCTTTTGTCTTTCAGAGGGATGTGTGTCCCTTTGCTGCAACTGCTCTGTTTCAGCCTGATTTCTTAACAGAGTCATCCCCTAAAAATGTTTATTTTTTTCCTGCACTTTTTGCTTCATTCTTTGCATCTTCTTCAGGCCGGGCTTTTCTCTTGCATCTCAGTCTAAAGTTGTGCCTGTTAGGCTATGTCTAGACTTCATTGCTTTTCTGGAATAATGGAGGTATCCCAGAAAAGCAATGCTGTGTCCAAGGAACGCATATGCTTTTCTGAAAAAGCAAACGCACTCTTTTGCCATCCCTGTAAACCTTGTTCTATGAGTAATAAGAGATGTGTTGAAAGAGCACTTTTTTCCCAAAATTTGATGCCATGTAGATGTGCCAAATTTCAGAAAAGCCTCTTTCGAAGGCTGAATCTGGATGCCAGTTCCGACTTACATACAGATTCAACTTAAGAACAAACCTACAGTCCCTATCTTGTACGTAACCCGGGGACTGCCTGTACTAGAACTAGAAGGGACCTTGAGAGGTCATCGAGTCCAGCCCCCTGCCCTCATGGCAGGACCAAGCACTGTCTAGATCAGGCATGTCCAAAGTCCGGCCGGCCAATTGCGGCCCGTGTTCCGGTTTAATACGGCCCCACGGGTAATTTGGCAATATCTATCTTTTATGGCCCCCAACGAATCCATATGTATTGAGATGAATACATTGTAAAATCTCAGTTAATGTCAGTTGGTCTAAATCAGTTATAAATATATTTGGACACAACATGTATACTTGGTGTTATGTTCCTGTTCATATTTTTTTAACTTAAAAGTTGACAGACAACCTTTATTACCAATAATATGTAATGTACTTTACAATGTTCCTGACATATATTTCAGCTCCCTGGATTTTTTTTTCATCTGGGCTTCAGATATGAAAGGCAGAGTGATTTAACACCTGTTTAGATTTGTCATCCATGTGACGAAATGAAAAGTATGCCGTTTGCAATAAACTTTGCATAAAATAGTTAATTTGCATTTAATTTTAATGGTTCTAAGAATGTCAGGCAAAATGGTCGGCCCTCACGCATGTTCACTTCATCAAATCTGGCCCTCTTTGAAAAAAGTTTGGACACCCCTGGTCTAGATCATCCCTTGTAGATGTCTGTCTGACCTGTTCTTAAAAGGATTGACTTCTTTTTTTTTTTTAATCCTGTGATATACTAAATATCAGACTAGATGATCTGATGGTTGGTTCTGGCCTTAAACGCTATGACTTATTTAAAGTCAGTGGGATTGGCTCCTTGGTTAGGAACAGTGGGAAACGACAACTTTCGAAGAGATCTGTACAAAAATAGATAAAAATCAAAAACTTCACATTGCCATGCTGTCTGTGAAAAGTGAAACCTTTGCTGTTCATGTCAATTCCCTCTCTTCCCTCATTACCTCCATTCTCCGTAATCATTTCTGCATCATCAAACATCATCAAAACTCTTTTGAATATAAAATGGCTAACTTGCTCAGTGAAAATGATACGTTTAAAATACACATCTTGATAAATTTGCCCTGGGTTAGACCTGAATGATTTTTATCCCCAAAATGATTCACTGGCAGAAGCAATGCAGTTTTGCCATAGCAAGTTTACAGTTTGTATGATACGGGGCATGATTAGGTTGGAATGAGGGAGAATGTAGGGTCCCAGAAGTGCTTACTCATGGCTCTTGGGAAGTGGACACCAAGCTCCTGAAGCCTAGGATGTTTTGTGTGTGTGAATCCGATTGTTCCTTCCTAAGCGAAGTACTTTGCATTTTGTCCTTACTAAATTTCATCCTGTTTACCTGAGACCATTTCTCTAGTTTGTCCAGATCATTTTGAATTTTGACTCTAACCTCAAAAGCACTTGCAACCCCTCCCATCTGCAAACTTAATAATTGTACTCTCAATGCCAATATCTAAATTGTTGATGAAGATATTGAACAGAACTGGTCCCAAAACAACCCCCCGCGGAATCCCACTTGTTATGCTCTTCTAGCATGTTTGTGAATCATTGACTACTCTCTGAGAACAGTTACCCAACTAGTTATGCATCCACCTTATCGTAGCCCTATCTCATTTGTATTTCCCTAGTTTATTGATAAGAAGATCATGCAAAATGGTGTTAAACGCCTTACTGAAGTCTAGGTATACCATGTCTACAGCTTCCCTCTTAACCACAAGGCTTGTTATCCTATCAAAGAAAGCTATCAGGTTGGTTTGACATGATTTGTTCTTTACAAACCAATGCTGGCTATTAACTATCACCTTATTCCAGATGTTTGCAGATGAATTCCTTAATTGCTTGCTCCATTATCTTTCCTGGCACAGAAGTTAAATTGACTGGTCTGTAGTTTACTGTGTTGTTCTTATTTCCCTTTTTATAGATGGGCACTATAGTTGCCTTTTTCCAGTCTTCTGGAATCTCTTCTGAATTCCATGATTTTTCAAAGACGATAACTAAAGGCTCAGATACCTCCTCTATCAGCTCCTTGAGTATTTTAGGATGCATTCCATTAGGCCCTGGTGACTTGCAGATATCTAATTTTTCTAAGTAATTTTTAACTTTTTTTTTAATTTTAACTTCTAGCATTTTCACTAGCATTTGCTATGTTAGGCATCCCGTCCCCATCAAACTTCTTAGTGAAAACTGAAACACCTCTGCCATTTCCAAGTTTCCTTTTATTGTTTCTCCCTTTTCACTGAACAATGGGCCTAGCCGGTTCGTGGTCTTCCTCTTGCTTCTAATATATTTGTATATTCTTGTTACCCTTCATGCCTCTACTTAGATTGAACTTGTTTTGTGTCCTTACCATTCTCATTTTGCCCCTGCATACCTGTGTTCTTTGCTTATATTCATTCTTTGCAATTTGACCTAGTTTCCATTTTTATATGACTCCTTTTTGATTTTTAGATCATGCAGGATCTCCTGGTTGATCCAAGGTGACCTTTATTCTTTCCTATGCAGTGCAATAGTTTGCTTTTGGACCCTTTATTATGTCCCTTTAAAAAACTGCCAGCTCTCTTCAGTTGTTTTTCCTCTTATTCTTGCTTCCCATTGGACCTTATCTACCAGCTCTCTGAGGCTGTATCTAGACTACAGGTTTTTTTTGAAAAAAGTAGACTTTTTTCGAAAAAACTTCACCTGCGTCTAGACCACAGCCGCGTTCTTTCAAAATTAAATCGAAAGAACGCGGCTTTTCTTTCAACGGCAGTACTCCTCATTTCATAAGGAAGATCGCCTTTTTTCAAAAGTGCTCTTTCGAAAAAAGGCATTCTTGAATGCAAACAAGGCTTTTTCGAAAGAGAGCATCCAGACTGCCTGGGTGCTCTCTTTCGAAAAAGCGGCTCACTTTTTCGAAAGAAGAGATTGCAGTCTAGATGCTCTTTTTCGAAAGAAGCTTTTTCGAAACTATCTTTCGAAAAAGCCTCTTTCGAAAGAGGCTTGCATTCTAGACGTAGCCTGAGTTTTTCTAAAATCTGCCTGCCTGAAATCCATTGTCTCTGTTTTGCTGTTCTCCCTTATACCATTCCTTACAGTCAAAACTCTATGGTTTCATGATCATTTTCACCCAACCTGCTTTTACTTTCAATTTTTCAACCCATTCAACCAATATGAAGTGCCTCAACTGACACCCCATCATTTTACTTGTATATTGTTTCCCTTTCCTCTACGCTTTGTCTGTCTAATTTACGTGGAGTGTGTGGTCTTCAGGACAGAGTTTGTATTTTGCTTTGACTTTATACAGAACTTGACACAATGGATCTCTAATTGGACCTTTGGACACTAGCTTCATGGAGTATCTGCCTTAACTTTGAACATTTTTGAATGGAATCCATTGAAGTTAGAGCCATTTACAAGTTAACTTCAGCGGGGCCAAGATTTTACCTCCTCTTGGAGTCCACAACTGCTTTGTTTTGTTTATTTCTAACTATAGTGTAACTTCATTATTAATTTCTGTAAATTACGTGGGCCTAATTTTCAGTTACCCTGAGGTCACTGACAGTATAAAATGGACCCATAGTAGGGGCAAATTACATACAGTGTATATGCCTATATTTAAAACCTCTTTTCCAGCTAATATAGTAAATTAGTATTCATTTACACTTAGTTAGTGTAAATGAGAATTCCGGCCTGTATATTTTTATAAACTGATATGTGATTAATGGTGTTTTTGTTTCCCTTTCATTTAGGTCGAGATTTGATATGCATACAGTCCATGGATGGCATGCTTATGCTGTTTGAACAGGAAAGCTATGCTTTTGGCCGATTTCTACCTGGTTTTCTTCTGCCCGGTCCTTTAACTTACAGCTCTCGAACAGATTCTTTCATTACAGTCTCTTCCTGTCAACAAGTTGAGAGTTACAAGTATGTGTAAATGTTAAATAAGTAATTGTAGTTTCTGTTTGTACTGCCATCATGTAGCATGTGAATATACTGAAGATGATAAATCTATGGTTTTTGACAGTATACATAATTATAATTATTTATTTATTATAATTATTAATGTGGCCACTCCCTGCCAGCATTGGCTCCCACCTTTTCCCCATGTGTAAAAATGAAACTGCTGAAAAATTCAGCAGTTACACATTTACACAAATAACCACATTTTAACATCCCTACTGCTAATAGCCCTTCCACTTACCTATTCCGATCCTCAGCTTATCTACTCTTGGGACCTTTCCTGCCTCCCCTCTTGAATAAGAGTCAAGGGGTATCTAAAAAATGTGGATCTGACTCCCTGTCATACAAGTCATAGGAGCTTCAACTCACCCTTTGTCCCACCTACCCCCATTTCTATTATTGTGATAAATGAGTCCTTAAAATGATTTGGGAAAGGAATTAATCTGATCACTGTATCAATTCTCTGCACTGAACATCTGCCCCAAGCTACATAATGAGTTGCAATATTATAGCAAAACCAAAAACCCTACCAAAATGTGTCAGTGTCTCCATGCTGACTAGGAACGGGGTACCTCTGTGTTGGAAGTAACTCACTGGCTCTTCAGGCAAACCTGACAAAGATTGCCACAACTTAATGTATGGTGAGGTAATTCAGCCTTGGACACTCAAGAATTAAATCTGGTGAAGCCTCAATGTGTTCTGGATAGGAATAGTGTACATTTTATCAGACTGTGGTGAAATATAGATACTTGCTCTTAAAGTTTGGAGAGTGAATGACTGGGAATGGCATGATCTTTGGAATGAGTTGGAATTGATGGGTGAAGGAAGCGTGTGAGAGATTGAGGTAGGAAAGAGGAAAAATATGTTGTTGCTGTTTCATTGAGAAAAATCAATATGCTTGATGCTATACAAAATACTGAGGAATCAAAATCTGCCTCAGGGAATTGAGAGTCCAAGTTTAATAGAACAGTTTACAGATAAAACACACCAGATTATCAGAAGAATGTTTAAATCTCTGTGTAGCACATTGGCTTTTTTTAATGTTGGATCCTGTATGGAGGACAGCCATTGATTATATTATACTCGACCGTGGCCAACCTGCAGCTCGCGAAACCACTCCTGCACCCCTGTCCCTCCTCCGCGCCCCTCCCCCCCGCCATCTCCCCCTCTTCCCTGTGCTTACTGGGTCGGAGCTGCAGGGTTTTAAAAATGGTGCCTTAAAGGCAGCCTCCTGTAAAAAAAATTTTTTTGTTTTTGTTCAACAATGCTATTCTGGGTGTTTTTTGTTTTGCTTGACAATACTGGTGCGTTTCTTCGCATTTTTTCCACTGCTGTTTTGGCTCTCTTTGTTAAATGGGTTGGCCACTCCTGTTATAGGTGGTATTAAGGAGACATCTGAATAAAGAAAGGATTACTCATTGGTGGGGGGAAGAAAGGAACAACAAGTTCAAAGGCTGTTATGTACAGAAGGCTTAAAGAGAAGAGACTGTTTACGTAGGTAAAGGTTAAAAATGAGGTTTGTATAGCAAAGGGAATGAGGAAGAAACATATGTATAACTTTAACGTAAGAATCAGAAGAGATGTAATAATTTCATGGCTCTAGCTGATGTTAATACTATATTTTGAATTTAAGTTTCCAAGCAACATACCCTGGGTAAATACAAGGTTTTTTTTTATGGATACATTGGCCTTGTGGTTCTGTTTAAGAATGAAGTAAGCAGCTATGAATCATTTTAGAAAGCAACAAGAAACGACTGTATGAATCTCAAGGGTCCTTGTACTTTAGCTCTCGGTATTTATTTTTGAGTAGTAACAGTTTAGCACAATTTCATTTTTCCCCCATAAAGGACAGCATACCTTTGTGAATCATTATTATATACAAATACTAAAGAATCTGTTGTTCAGACTTCTTTCAAAATTTGAATGATCAGAGCCAGGCAAAAGTCAATTTAAGCAGTATATCATCAAGCCACGGTGGAGATGACTGATTAGTACTGGGGTGGGCAAGAGACTGCCAGTGGCCAAATCTGGCCCGCCAAGCCACCGGATCTGGCCTGTGGCTGCTTCGCTGGCACTCTCAACCACAGCAATGTGGTAGCCACTTCAAATGTAGCTGCTCTATTCTGGGAGCGAGAAAGGAGACTTTTTATGCTCTGCTCCGCCCCTCAGTAAAATCTCTCAGCTCCCATTGGCCAGTTTCTGACCAAGAGCAGCTGAGATATTTTGCTGGTGGAAATGGCAGCCAATGAAGTCTCCTCCCCCCACACTCCTTCACTCTGCCCAGAGCAGAGCTATGTGGAGCAGCTTGTGACTGCAGCCTTCTAGGGCTGCTGCCTGGAAGCTGCCTATGTAAGTGCCTTTCGGCCAGAGCCTGCCTCTGGCCACCCCACTCTCTTCCCTTCCCTCCAGATACCTGCCCCAGGCCACCACCCAAACTCTCTCTCTGTACTCTTTTCCTTCAGGTCACAACTCCCTCACAGAGCCTACACCCTCTCCTACACCTTTCCCCCAGGCCCAAATCCTCTCTGGCACCCATGCCCACATCCCCTCCCTGATCTTGCACCCCATTCCTCTGCCCCAAACCCTCTGCACCCTCTTCACCCAGGTCACAAGACAGAGATTACGTATGTCAATGAATAGTCGACTATACAATTAACCGATAAGCGTAGTTAATCTTGTTGATTACACACATTTTCCCCACCCCTCTTTGCTGCCTCTGACACAGAGGCAGCAAGGAGGGGTGGGAAAGCAGAAGCCGGTTCCCCCCAGCACCAGTTCCACAGTGCCACCTCTCCCCCTGCGCTGATGCCTCTGTCAGAGGCAGCAGCACTGGGTGGGGCGGGGGAGGGTGCTGTGAAGCAGCCTCTGTCCACTTTGGCCCTGAACTCCCCAGTAGGGGCGGGCAGCAAACAGACTGCTCGGGGAGCTGTTTTTTAAACTGGCTCCCCTTGTGGACTGGCTCCCATCTGGCATCCCGCACTGCTGCCTCTGATACAAAGGCGGGGGGCTCCTGAGGTGGGGCCAGAGCGCACTGGCTGCCAGCCCCACCTATAGTGGCTATGGAATAGTTAAGTAACGGATAAGAATTAATGTGGTTTCTTGACTATTCAATTACCAAACATCTAACATCCACTAATACAGACAAACATATGTGGTCATGAGTGGTGCTGTATGATTAACTTCATTTTGCTACTGTCTGCATATTGGTGGGAGTGCCACTAACTACTGACCAGTACTGAGGTTTGTCCCTACTAAAAATGATGTGACCATATTTCTTGACTCATGTTTATGTGACCAAGTTTGGATTTGGATTAAAAGAATTACCCTTTTGGAGAAAGAAAAGAAAAAAAGAGATATTTATTAATACAAAGTTGACTAAGCCTGCCCTATGAGTTTAATACTCTATATAAACCTGCTATTGATTCGTAGAACTGGAAGGGACTTCTAGATGTCAGCAAGTCCATCCCCTGCACTCATGAGAGGACCAAGCACTTTATAAAACATCTCTGACATTGTCTAACTTGCTCTTAAAAATCTCCATTAATGGAAATTCCACAACCTACCTATGTAATCTATTCCAGTACTTAAACATCCTGACAGTTAGGAAGTTTTTCCTAATGACTAACCTGAACCTGCCTTGTTGCAATTTAAGCCCATTGCTTCTTGTCCTATCCTCAGAGGTTAAGGAAAATAATTTTTCACCCTACTCCTTGTAAGAACCTTTTAGATACTTGAAAAAGTATCATGTGTTGGTGAGAATGATAGCATTGAGAGTGCTTTTTGCCTGCAGCCTAAATCAAGTGTGCTCAAGCCACCCATAACTACAACAATTCTAAATGAAATTGTCATTTTGCAGGCCTAGACCCGCCATAAGAGACAATCGTCTTTATTACCAACATAAAGTGTTAGAAAACGAGCAGTCTCCCAGTCTTTCACATGAACAGATAACAACAAAGCAGGTATTCTCCAGTGCCATTGCTTTGATAGACTACATTGTTTGCACATTCACATGTACCCCTATCCTCTGGTCAGTTTTTGAGAGAGGGAGGTGAAGTCTGCTTCTTTTTGCCTCAAAATGCTCTACAGCCGTGAATTAATGGTCATGTAGCATCCTAATAAATGCCTAACATCAAAATAAGCTACCATGAAGAGATCCTTAAATGAATGAGTGCATCTATCATTTAACAAATATTAAGGCTTTGAGATGGCCCCTATTGAGAAGGTATGCAAATTAAGGATGTTAAGAGGCAGGTAGTTGGGTAATCGTGTAATTGATACAACTTGTTGATAAGGGAAGGAGCTCAGGAGGAGCTATCCCCGCTGCGACTCTGCAGTTTAAATATAGTAAGAGCTGGGTTCAGAGGTAGCCAATCTCTGTATTTAAAGCTTCATCCAGAGGCAGTCTGTCTCTGGTTCTAGATTACCCGCTTCCACTGGCAACTATGTTAAGGAAATGGTATATTTTTTCTGGATCCTTGACAATAAACAGCTTGAGGCTAGTTAATTTTTTTCCCTAAAATAAGTGCTTGTGCAATTAGACTGAGAAGCAGTTTTCCTCTGATGTGTCGATTAGAAAATCCAGTTAGAAGCTTCTGATTAATAGTGATGTTTCATTGTAAGTAAGAAGAAATGTATACTATGCCATCGGATCTCTATTTTCGGAGTTAAATTTTGGAAGTGTGGATACTGACTAAGCTTAGAATGCTGAAGTCAGCATGTTCCCAAAGCAAAATTCAAGAGCTCAAGCAGTGATTAGCATTTACTTTGGGTATTTTTTTCACATTCAGTGTATTGTTTTTTTCATCTTATCTTTGGCTACCCTGGGCTTCTTTTGAATATAGTTCAATACTAAGAAGTGTTATAATAGGTGCTGAACTGCTGGTCTTTCTCTTTTTGAAAAACATGCATAATCGAGCAATAGAGTGCTAACAGATGTGATGCTGGCAGACAGAGTACCAGCTTTA